ATGTAGTACCCATTGTATAGATGTTCTATGTTTGATGAAACCAATTTCTCATGGTAGGAGGTTTTTAAAAATATTTTTATTGTTTTTTAGAGAAATAGGAAGGGAGGGGGGAGAGAAAGAGAAACATCAGTGTGAGAGCAAAACATGTTTCCTGCACACCCCCTAGTGGGGATTGAGCCTGCAACCCGGGCATGTGCCCTAACTGGAAATCGAACCAGCAACCTTTTGGTGCACAGGATGATGCCCAGTTCACTGAGCCACACTGGCCAAGGATCGTGGTAGGAGGCTTTTCACTATTTTACACAACATGATGATGAACATTCTTATAACCAGATCTTTGAAGGCTTCCTTAATACTGTAAAATAATTTCTTGGATGTAAACTTTTGGATCAAAGAATATATATTTTCCAGAGCCTTTCAATTTACATTGCCTAAGGGGCAGGAGTACTGCCTAGAACAGGGGTGGGCAAACTTTTTGACTCGAGGGCCACAGTGGGTTCTTAAACTGGACTGGAGGGCCGGAACAAAAGCATGGATGGAGTGTTTGTGTGAACTAATATAAATTCAAAGTAAACATCATTACATAAAAGGGTATGGTCTTTTTTTTTTTAGTTTTATTCATTTCAAACGGGCCGTAGTTTGCCCACGGCTGGCCTAGACTGCCACCCACTTTGTAAAAAAGAGCTATATTGCATTAGTTTAATGTTCAGAAACACATTTTAAGCCTTTATCCCTTATAAATTATAATTATGTCCTGTTTCTTTGGGTTTTAGAGTGCCTTTGCCAGATTAGCTGGCTGGTGGGTGCTAATCCTTGCATCTGTTACTAAACGCTACTAATGTTACTAAGCTAATACCAGCAGCAGCATTATACTCAGGGCAGGTTTGCCTTTCATATCTAGCCAGGCAATTAAAGTCTGTTTATTATTGCTTGGTGCAAGGACTGGCTGATTTCCAATTAGCAAACCAGACAAATATTATTCATTTGAATTTTTTGTTCAGGTACAATAAACTTGGCGTTTCCATGATTCAATTTCTAATTAAGTATAAAGTCAGAGAATGATCATTTGCCTGATACTTTCTGACTAAATATTTGCACGCTCATTACTTAGTGATTGTTTCTGAAGATGCACTGGATTTGTCTCTACTTTCCCATAGTCTTTCAGCCTTGAAGTGTTACATAGAGGACTGTTACAAATGGCTTGGATAGACCTGGGCAAGGATATTCAAATGACAGTGGCTTTGTGTGTGTGTGTGTGTGTGTGAGAGAGAGAGAGAGAGAGAGAGAGAGAGAGAGAGAGAGAGATCAGTTGCCTTCTGTAGGTGCCTGGACTGGGGATCGAACCTGCAACCCAGGTACGTGTCCTGACTGGGAATTGAACCGACAGCCTTTCGAGGTACAGGATGACGCTCAACCAGCTGAGCCACTCTGGCCCAGCATGCTCTCACTTTTCTTATGTCTCTTCCATGGAGTCATCTGTCGTGAATGGACGGTCTAGGGCCGTGGTCGGCAAACCGCGGCTCACAAGCCACACGCGGCTCTTTGGCCCCTTGAGTGTGGCTCTCCCACAAAACACCACGTGCCATTGAAACTTCGTGGCCCATGCGCAGAAGTCGGCATTTACTGCTGTCCCGTTATAGACAGCAGTCTTGGCCTTCCCTGGCTTGTGGATGCATCACTCCATCTCTGTCTTCCCATGGCTTTCTCCCTGTGTGACTGTGTCCAATTTTCCCTCTTATCGGGACACCAGTATTAGGGCCCATCCTAGGACCTTGTCTTAACTCAATTATATCTGCAAAGACCCTCTTTCCAAATACAGTCACATCATAGGTACTGGGGGTTAGGGCTTCAACATACCTCATTCTAGGGCAGTGATGGCGAACCTATGACACGCCTGTCAGAGGTGACACACGAACTCATTTTTTTGGTTGATTTTTCTTTGTTAAATGGCATTTAAATATATAAAATAAATATCAAAAATATAAATCTTTGTTTTACTATGGTTGCAAATATCAAAAAATTTCTATATGTGACACGGCACCAGAGTTAAGTTAGGGTTTTTCAAAATGCTGACACACCGAGCTCTAAAGGTTCGCCATCACTGTTCTAGGGGGACATAATGCAACCCATAATGAGGGGGTGCATGCTGCTATTTCGGGTCAGGTGTTCTGTGGGGGACAATTGACAGAGACGAGGGATGGAGGGCTCCAGTCCTGAGCTTATTTTGTGGAAGAGCAGTTTGAGTCCAGGACAGGGCTGAGGTCCTCCCGTGGGAAGGAGTTGGCTGTATCTAGAAATAGCTAAGAGGACAGTGTGGCTGGAGCAGAGTTTAAGAAGGAGCTGCGTTTAAATGTGTCATGGGATGAGGGACTCAGACTCAGGCCTTCTTTAATGGGGCGTGCCCTTCCCCTAGACCCCACTCTTACCTCAGGGCAGTTCTTGCCCAAGACTACCAAAGGGACCATTTTTTTTAAAAGCACCCATTTTTTTTGAAAGAGATGCTAGAAATCCAGATTTTAAAAATGTGCAATCTGCCCTAGCAGTTTGACTCAGTGGATAGAGTGTAGGCCTGTGGATTGAAGGGTCCCAGGTTCAATGCCCCCTTGACTGTACCTCAGTTGCAGGCTCCATCCCCAGACCTGGTCAGGGCACATGTGGGATGTGTCTCTCTCACATCAATGTTTCTCTCTCTCCTGCTCCCTTCCACTCTCTCTCTAAAAAAAAAAAAAAAAAATCAATGGAAAAATATCTTTGGGTGAGGATGAACAATAACAAAAAATGTGCAATCCCCCAATTTTTAAATGTTAATAATGAATTCACATTAAAACAAAATTTCTTTGAGGCTGCCAGATTGGAGGGTGGAGTTGGAGGAGAAGAGAGGAGAGGGAGTCAGAAGAGGTCTCAGAGGAGGTTTCAGATGGTGAATAAAAAATAAAGGACAAATCAAAATGTGGAATGAGGTGGCTACTCTCCTCCACTCCCCCCCAACCCCGCTCCAGCAGTGGCCTTTTTTGTTTCCCTTTCTTTTGGACGTCTGGCGTCATCTTTTCAAATATCCCCACTCACCAGCTCTGTGATCAGGGTTAAGTCATCCAGCCTTTCTGTACCTCAGGTACCTTACCTGAGAAATGGCTCAAGTCTCTTAACTTCCCTGGGCTTCCCTTTCTGCTCTGAGAAATGAGCTACCATGGGGGCGGGCTAGGGGCAGCAGTTGTGAGGATTAAGGACTATTCAGTGTCTGATTCACAATAGGTGGTTAATAAAAGCCAGTGCTTAAAATCCTCCTCCTCTTCACACCCCCATCTTCACACCCCATCTCCCCACCCCCAGCCCATTGTGGAGGATTCATCAGGAACCCCGAGTCAGCCCCTGAATGGAGAGCAGCTGTCTCCCACCTCTGCCTCCTTGGGAAGCATTTAGGTACATGGGGACGTGGCTTCCTTGGGCAGAACCTGGTGGAGGAATTTCTTAGCAGTGGTCCCAGCAGCGCCGCCTAGTGGGCTGAAGAAAGACCAACCCTTGCTGGGCAGGGAAGAAGGTGAGACTGAAGAATGGACTCTCAATTACTCCTATTGTTCTACCTGGATGACCCCTGGGCTGTGTGTGTGTGTGTGTGTGTGTGTGTGTACACGTGTGTGTGCTCTGTCACTGAGTGAGGCTCCTAGGTGTGGGATGAGGAACACCGAGGCCCAGCCACAAAAAGGTCAGAAAACCATCCAAAATGGTTCTCAGTCATCAGGTCCCCCTGCGCGCCTATGCCTTTGAAAACTATTCACTGTGAAGGTTTCTTTTTTGTGTTAAACTGAGAGGACCAGATATTTGCTTAAACCGTATTCTGAGCCCAGCTGGCGTGGCTCAGTGGTTGAGCATCGACCTATGTACCAGGAGGTCACAGTTCAATTACCTGTCAGGGTTGTGGGCTCGATCCCCAGTAGGGGGCGTACAGGAAGCAGCCAATCAATGATTCCACCTCATCACTGATGTTTCTCTCTCCCTTAAACAACAAGCTTATTCTGAGTGTCTGTAAGAGTGTTTCTAGATGAGAATAACATTTGAATGAGTAGACTAAGCAAATTGGATTGTCCTCCCCAATGTGGGTAGGCCTCACTCAAGCCACTTGAGAAATGAGTAGAACAAAAAGGAGAAGTAAAGGGAGCTAAGGATATGAATACCCCAGCCTCTTTCCTCCTGTGTTACTATCTTGCCAGGGTCTCTCACTGGCTGAACCCAACTCTAAGCAAGAGGGCAAGGATCCACTATTCTGGCGTAGCCCGTACTCCCCAGCCTCCTGGGGCAGAAAGCAGGGTGGAGCAGGTAGAAGGTGGACATGGATGGGTAAATGGAAACCATTCAGCACAGGGAGCAACTCTAAATGTCCTCAGCGACAACAGGTAGAACTGTGCAACAGTCCAAAAGGTAGAACATTCCACCTGATGGAAGAGAATGGTGTTTATGGATAACCTGGTGGGATCAGACATCAGCTGGGAGAATGGACTACATGACCATTAAAGTCCTTATCAAGGACTTTCAGACATTAAATTATTATCGGAAAGGGGACCTGGCTTTGGCGAGTCTGCCTAGGACCAGCCATGAGGTGTGGGTTCTTGACTTTGTGCAGGAGAAATTTCACAACACGAGTCCAGGCAAGTATGAGGGAACATTTATTAAAGCTGGGCAGTGAGACAAGGAAGGGCTTCGCATAGAAGAAGCAACAGGAGAGCCGAGGCTGGGCTACCCTAGCTCTCTGGGAAGTTAGTGTTATAGTAATCATTATAGTACTTAATGTTAGGACCTTAGAATGTAAGACTTAAAGCAGGTAACCCTGTGTGGACTGTTATAGTAATGTTAGATATAGGAATGCTGTGTGGGACACAGGAATGCACCCTTGTACTCTGCTTGGTACTGATAAACAACCTATCTGATGGGAACGCCCAAAGCCCGTACACACCCATACATTAACAGACCCCAGGTGGATCCACATATGGCAGCCTCTGATAACACACACACCAACAAAGACCACGCCTACAGAGGGGTATATAATCAGACAGTCTGATCGACTCAGCAGCTCTCACAGCTCTCCTTTCTCCAGAGCGTGAGGACCTGTGTGTGCTCACGTCTCGGTTCCCGGCACGAAACTCTGCCCAATTAACTATCGATCGACAAAGGAGCCAGCAGCCAATGGCGCCGTCTACCCCTGTGTGTGTGTCAGTGAGCATCGTCTACCCCTGTGTGTGTGTCAGCGAGCATCTCCGGGTGGATCCTTCCCAGAGTCTGAGACCCATCAGGAACTGGTAAATAAACCCCCTGTGTGCTTGCATCTAACGTGTTTGTCTGTGTGTAATTTCTCCGGCTCGGCTCAGATCTCGGTGCTGTCTCTGTGAAAGTGTCTGACCAGAAGGTATTGGCACAAGCCTCAAGCGGATGGTCCAGACCACCTGTGCATGTCCCGCTTAGGAGCAGCACCTATATGGGAACCCCCCCGCACCTCGACATAGGTGACGGGCCTTAAAGATATAAAAATAGAAGCTTATTTGGGACAGTTAGAGAAAAGGGGGCCTTGGGGTCAGGTTCAGGGCTTAGCCTGGGGCGATCTGCCACTGTCCATTCCTGCCCTGGTGGCAAGCCTCATGGGGTCCTTTAGAGTTTAGGAGATGCATGCCTGTGGGGGAAGAAGTGGGGAAAAAAGAGGGGAAATGAGATGGTGGGGGCTGCTCCTCACAGGGAGAGTGTGTGCTAGGTACTTTGTCTTGAGGCTTTAATCTCTTTCTTACAGGCAGGAATCTTAGGAGAGGTCAGGGGAGCATTTTAGCAGAATATTCATCCGTTTTCTAGGTGTGTTCCACCAGGACTGTGGTCTCCACCGATTGGTCAGTGTCAGGACAGGGGGTCCTTAGTCACTGCAGCTGGTCCTGGTGTCTCCCACCTGGTTTTGCTGCTTCTCTGGGCTTGGATCTGAAATACAACTGAGGCCTAGACGTGCTCTCTAAGGAGGTGGCCTCCTGGATCTGCTGTGAATTGCTCTGCCTGTTTGTTCAGCTGTCTGTCTCAGTTTCCCCGTTCCACTTGTCCTGGCTGCCTGGCCTGTCTCAAAACGATTCTGTGAAAGCCATTGCCGACAGGTGCCTTTCCTCTTTATTTTCAGATGGGACAACAGTAATAGTAATAGTAATAGTAATAGTAATAATAATAATAACACCAACAACCATAACTACTAATGTGTAATTAGCATGTAATAGGTGCATGTGTCTGAGGCACTGTGCTAAGCCATTTGCGTGCATCACCTTTATTCCTCATAACAACTGTAGGGGATAGCTACTTTTACTGATTTGATTTTTAAAATAATTTTTAGTTTTCAATTACAGTTGATGTACAATATTATATTAGTTTCAGGTTCAGGGGTTGGACATTTATGTAACTTATGAACTGATCTGATACCATGCATAGTTATTACAAGGTTATTGACTATATCCCCTATGCTGTACTTTATTTATTTATTTTTTATTTTTTTAAAAATTGATTTCAGAGAGGAAGCAAAAGGGAGAGATAGAAACATCAATGATGAGAGAGAATCATGCATCAGCTGCCTCCTGCATGACCCCTACTGGGGATTGAGCCTGCAACCTGGGCATGTGCCCTTGACTGGAATCGAACCCGGGACCCTTCAGTCCGCAGGCTGACGCTCTGTCCATTGAGCCAAACCAGCTAGAGCCCTATGCTGTACTTTATATCTTTATGACTATTCTGTAACTGCCTATTTGTACTTCTAAATCCCTTCCTTTTTCATCTATCCCCCCAGACCCCCTCCCATCTGGAAACCATCAACATGTTCTCTGTATCTATGAGTCTGTTTCTGGTCTACTTGTTCATTTATTTATTTATTTATTTATTATTTTTTTTCATCTTCACCCGAGGATATTTTTTCCATTGATTTTTACTGAGAGTGAAAGGGAAGGAAGAGAGGAGAGGAGAGGAGAGGAGGAAGAGAGAGAGAGAAGAACATTAATGTGAGAGAGACACATTGATTGGTTGCCTCCTGCACATGCCCTGACCAGGGTCTGGGATGAACCTGCAACTGAGGTACATTCCCTTGATCAGGAATGGAACCCCAGACCCTTTGATCTGTGGGCCGACGCCCTAACCACTGAACCAAACCGGCCAGGGATTATTTTGTTTTTTTAGATTACACATGTAACTAAAATCACATGGCATTTGTCTTTCTCTGTCTGACTTATTTCACTCAGCAGCATATGCTCTAGTTTCATCCATGTTGTTGCAGATGGCAAGATTTTATTCTTTTTTTATGGCTGAGTCATATTTCTGTGTATTATATACACAACTTTTTTTTTTATCCATTCATCTATTGATGGACACCTAGGTTGCTTCCATATCTTGGATATTATAAATAATGGTGCAATGTACCTATGAATATACTAGAAGTCTGGTGCACAAATTTGTGCACAGGTGGGGTCCTTTGGCCTGGCCAGTGATCGGGGCCCATTGGGGCCGTCTTGCCCAGTCCAGATCGGGACTGTGGGAGGTTGGCTTGCCCAGGGGGTTGGAGGAGAACTGCAGGAGGTTTGTCAGCTGGCCTGCAGGGGCGTGGGGAGAGGGAGGGACTGCGGGAGGTTGGACGGCTGTGGGAGGTTGGCTGTGGGAGCACACTGACCACCAGGGGACAGCTCCTGTGTTGAACGTCTGCTCCCTGGTCATCAGTGTGCATCATAGTGACTGGTTGACCGGTTGTTCAGTCGTAACAGTCACTTAGGCTTTTATATATATAGATATATGTCTTTTCAATTTAGAGTTTTGGATTTCTTTGGATAAATAACCAGAAGTGGAATGCTGGATCTTTCTTTGTCTTTTGTTATAGCCTTTGTTTTAAAGTCTATCTTGTGTGGTATAAGTATTGCTTCCCCAGTTTTTATTTTTTTTTCATTTCCATTTAATATTTACTGGATATTTCCAGTAAATATCCCTTTACTTTTAATATGTTTGTGTCTTGCGATCTGAAGTGAGTCTCTTATAGACAAAATATGAAGGGTCTTGTTTTCTTATCCATTCAGCCACATTGTATCTTTTGATTGGACATTTAATCCATTTGCATTTAAAGTAATTATTGATAGATATGTATATATTTCCATTTTATTATTCATATAGTTTTTCTTTTTTCCCTTAAAGAAGATCCTTAAACATTTCATATAATACTGGGTTGATGGTGATGAATTTCTTAATCTGGGAAGCTCCTTATATGTCCTTCAATTCTAAATGATACCTTTTCTAGGTAGAGTCATCTTGGTTGTAGGTCCTTGCTTTTCATTACTTTGAATATTTCATGTCAGTCCCTTCTGACTTGCCAAGTTTCTGTTGAGAAATTAGCTGACAGTCTTAGGGGAGCTCCCTTATAGATACTTGGGCTTGTTTGTCCATTTCCTTCACCAGGTTAGGGAAGTTTTCTGTAATTATTTTTTCAAATAGGTTTTCAATTCTTTACTCTCTCTCCTTTTTTCAGCACCCACATGATGTGAATGTTGGTACTTTTGATGTTGTCCCAGAGGCTTCTTAAACTATCCTCACTGTTTTGGGATCTTTATTTTCATTTTTATTTTTTTCTGTTCTGATTGGGTGTTTTCTGCTTCCTTATCATCCAAATATCTGATTTGATCCTCTGCTTTATTTACTCTACTGTTGATTCTCTATAATGTATTCTTCATTTCTGACTTTTAAAAAGCATTTTCTATGCCATTTTTATGTTTCCCATCTCTTTGTTGAAATTCTCACTAAGTTCATCTATCTTCTGCTAAGTTCGTTAAGTATCCTTACAATCAGTGTTTTGACCTCTGCGTTTGGTAGATTGCTTGTCTCCATTTTATTTAATTTTCTTTTTCTTTTTTTTCTGGAGTCTGTTCTGTTCTTTCATTTGGAACCTGTTTCTTTGTCTCCTCATTTTGGCTGCCTCCCTGTAATTGTTTCTATGTATTAGGTAGAGCTGCTTTGTCTCCAGTCTTGGTAGAGTGACCTTTTGAACTAGGTGCCCTATAGGGCCCAGTGGCACAGCTTCCCCAGTCACCTGAGCTGGCTGCTCCAAGTGTGCCATGCCCCAGTGTGGGCGGTGTGACCCTCCTGTTGTATTTGAACCTTGATTGCTGTTGGCATGCCAATGGGAGGGATTTACCCTTGCCGATGGGCTATGAGGACTGGCTGATACTACAGCAACTACAGTGGAGCTTCTGTGGAGGGGCTGACCCCACAGAGCAGGACTCTCTTTAGTGGGGCTCTGCTGAGTCTGCCCCTTGAGCATGTTGCTCATGAAGGTGGTTGAGTGGTGCTTCAGCATGTTGAAACTGCCCATGAGGTGTGCTGGCTCTGGGGCCTCCCGGGAGGTGCAGGGCAAGATTGAACGTCACCTGTGTTCTGCCTAGGGGCATCGGAGCATGAGCTACAAAGCAATCTGCAGATGGCTGCTACTTGTGCTGGGCTTGGAGGTGCCCAGGAGAGGCCAGGCTGCAAACCAAGGGGTCTGGACAGCCACTTAGCAAGAGGTATGGGCCACGCTGAGGCCAGATGCGGCTTGTTTGGGGTTTGTGAACCTTTGAGAAATTTTAGGAAAGTTTGCAGCATGAACCAAGACAGGTTGTTTGGATGGAAACACCACTGGAAGCAGCTTGGGTGGGCCCCCAAGTTGGGTAGGGTGGCAATTACAGGGAATCACCAGGGCAGGGTAAACAGTGTTGATGGAAACTCAGATATGGTACTCACGTGTCAGCTCTGGGGTGGAGGGGAGAGCTCAGCAAAGAACAGTGACCTCTGCCAGCACTTCCATCTGGGAGAAAACTGGCTCTTCAACTCTCACCCCAAAGCCAGAAGATTCAGTTCCTCCGTATGTCCCTGGTGCCTTTCAAGCTGCTGCCCTAGCACTGGTGCTCAGAGCAAGTGAGTCTGAGTAAGTCTGTGCATGGGCCCTTTAAGAGGAACACCTGGGACTCCAGGAACCCTCTGTCTCACTCAGCCACAATCCCCTGGTTTTCACAGCCAGAAGTTATGGTTCTCTTCCTGGCACTGGAACCCTGGGCTGTGGGGCCTGGTGTAGGGCTGGGACCCCTGCTTCTTAGAGTGGCTCTCCAGAGTGAGATATTCTTCCCAATATTTAAACACTACACGTGGGTGTGGGACCAGCCTGTCCTGAGTCTCAGCCGCTCCTACCAGTCTCAATGTAGCTTCTTCTTTCTATCTTTAGTTATAGGACTTCTGTTCAGCTAGGTTTCAGGCAGTTCTGAATGATGGTTGTTCTGTA